AAAGGCCTGAAGCTGGCCTGAACAATGAGCCTCAGCCTTCTCTTCCCTAACCCCAGGTGTTGAGATAATAGGCAGGTGCCACCAGGCCCAGATTTAGGCTTAACATTCCACCTTAAGATTTATTTCTAGACAATCTCAAATGGCAAAAAGACACTTAAGGAAATGCTTAACATCCTTAGTCATCAGGGAAATGCAAATCAAAACCTTCTGAGATTCCATCTTACAACAATTAGAATGGCTAAAATCAAAAACACCAATGACAGCTTGTGCTAGATTGGATGTGGAGAAAGGGAACACACTTTCACTTCTGGTGGGAGTGCAAACTTGTACAGCTGCTGTGCAAATCAGTATGGTGATTTCTCAGAAAATTAGGGATCAACCTACCTGAAAACCCTGTAATACCACTGTTGGGCATTTACCCAAAGGAAGCACATTCACATTTGCTCAACTATGTTCATACCAACATTATTTGTAATAGCCAGCTCTTGGAAACACCCTAGATAACTCTCAACTGAAGAATGGAAAAAGAAAATGTGGTATATTTACACAATGGATTACTACTCAGTGGAAAGAAACAATGGCATCCTAAAATTCAAAGGCAAATGGACCCCAAACCAGAAAGACAAATATAGTATGTATTTACTCATAAGTGGATGTCAGACATAAAGCAAAAGATATCCAGCCTACAATCCATAACTTCAGAGAGAGAGGCTTGAACCCTATTCCAGAAACAGATGGAAGCAGATGCAGAAAACCACAACTAACCAATGGGTCAAGCTCCCGGAGTACAATTGAAGTAAGGGAGGAGTGAAAATATGAACTAAGAAGTCAAGCCCATGATGGGGAAACCCACAGAATCAGCCGGCCTGAGCTAGTGAGATCACTGACTCAGGTCTGACAAATGGGGAACCTGCATAAGACCAAATTAGATTCCCTTAATATAGGTGAAAATGGTGTGAATAGGACAATATATGAAGTCAATGGCAGTAGGTCCAAGACCTAACACTAATGCACAAACTGACTTAGTGGAGCCCATTCTATATAGAGAGATACCTTGCCCAGCCTAGACTCAGGGATGTGGAGGTGGAGAGTTGCCTTGGTCCTGCCTCAACTAGATGATGGGACAGACTTAGTAGACTTCCTGTGGGAGGCCTTACCCTCTCCATGGAGCAAATGGGAGGAGCGGGGGAATGGAGGGAGTGGGAGAAGAGAAGGGAGTGGGAACTGGGATTGAAACGTAAAAAATAAATGATTTAAAAATTTATTTCTAGATTTCCTAGTCAAAATGTAAAGTTTTATTTTCATTATTTTTGAATAAAATTCTATATTGCTCTTTATGGATAAAACGTCAGTATTGTCAGCCCCAAAGTCTCATCTCCTGCCAGTTCCTCCCATGTACTCTGTTTAAGAGAGAACATACAATTCATGTGTTCCCTGAGCACACTCTTAACTTTTCCATTTTTATTGTACAAGTCTCTCCCTCTTTTCGAATTTTTCAACAGTTACCAAATTAAAAGTTGCCCCTTGTCAAGTCCTCATTGGTTTTGTCTTCAAAATATCCCAAGCTACAATCCTTATACTACTTAATTCCTTGCACATTAACAGATCACACTGCATTACAATTAAAACTATAGGGATTTGTCCTTGTGGAATTATGATTTCATAGAAGAGGGGTACAACTTGAAGGCAGTGACAACACTTTATTAATTTTAACCCCTTTGGAGACAAGTAAGAGCATGATAAATGAGTGCAAAGGAGAAGATGAAAACATCAGCTATTAGCACCACTGAACCTTCATGTTTTCTTGTATGGACAATCCTAGAGTAGTGATTTGTGGAAGCTTTAAGAAAACACACTCACACACACACACACACACACACACACACACACACACACACTTCACACACTTTCTTTAAAACAGGTCTACTACTAGTATAGAAGTATTGTACCTCTACTATTAGGTTGGACAGGGTGGCCAGTGAGTATCGGGATCCACCTGTCTCTATCTTCCCAGCACTGGGATCATGAACATATAGCACCCTGCCTAGCTCTTTTATAAGGCTTTCAGGGATTGAACTCAGGTTGTTCTCATGCTTGCATGGGAAGACTTTACTAACTGAGCAATCTTCTTAGCCCCCTAAAATAAGAGAAATCATTTCCACCCAGAATCAGAGTATCTGCTATTGAAAAAACAAAGTTTAGATAAGGAAAGGTGGTACACAAATATAATCCTAGCACACAAGAGGCTGAGACTGGAAGAGAACAAATTTCATGCCAGCCTGGACTACCTAATGAGCTCTAGGTCAACTTGGAACTAGATAACAAGACCCTGGCAAAACAAAACAATAAGAAACTCAAATAAACCATTGACCTAATAATTTAAGTTTTGAGGACAAAAAGTAAATCAACACTAGATATATGTATTTGGGAAACATTATTATTGATATTAATGAACTTAGGTAGGGTACATGTAAGGAAAGGGAAGAAATGAGTAAAAGGAATGAAATTTATGAAATATCTATTTTCAGTGGGTCGGATGAGGAAATCAGGAAGCTGAGAAGGGGCCCCAAAGTCATAGAAGAAAATCAGAAACAAATACAAAATAGAAGAGGATATTCCACGGTAAGTAAAATAAAGAGATTCTTCAAGGCAATTTCAGAGGACGGGAAAGGAAAAATACAACCTGAGCAATTATCAGCAAGTTCTGACATAGGATTCAAAGAACCCCACAAAAGAGAACTAACACTTCATACAAGGCATAGTTACAGAAATGATGAGAAGTTACTTTCCTACCTAGACAGACTGGATGCTGAAGGAGAATGGATGTTCTTTAAGATAGTGTTAGAACCCACTGCACACTGAGGAGGGCATTTTTGCTCTCCTAGAGATGAGGAAACTGAACTTCATGCACCTAGCAACCTGTCAAAACCCTCCATCAATAAACAGCTGCTAGTATGAATGTACCTGTTCTCTCACAACACAAATGCTAAAATCCCATGAAAGTACAACATTCAGATAACCTCATGTGATGGTATTAGGAGGTGTAGTGTTTTGGGGGGAGGTAATGATATCATGATTGTGGACTCAAAAATGGGATCAGCAGTCCTATAAGAGGCATGAAGGGGGCTGCTTGCCCCTTCCATTATGTGAAGACTCACCAATAAGGTGCAATTTGTAAACCAAAGCCCTCACTGGACATGGAACTTGCTGGTGTCTTATTCTTAGCTTTGTCATTCTCTTGAACTCTAAAGAAATAACTTTATGGTGTTTCCAACCTATTTCTCTACAGTATTTTGTTAAACAGCAAAAATGGACTAAGGCAATACAGGACTAGAACGTAAAAGTAGGGCTAATCACACAGTCTTTGCTTCTCACACAACAACTCATATGAAAGTACAACCTAAAAAGGTGCAAAGAACAGAATATTTGCAAAAGACAGTTATAAATATCAGTAAACATTCTTAAATAAATAGTTTTGTTTTGACCAACGGCTGAAACAAGAAATCTTAATATTAAATAGTTTCTGCCAAGGTCTACTCATGATACATGTGCTCTACAAGTAAAATGGGGATATTCTTTGTTCTTCAAAGAGTAAGAGAAACAAAATTTTAAAAATAACATATAATGTAATCTTCCCTTAGATAACATTAAGGTTAAATAAACCTTGCAGGAAAATGTCAGGAAGGCCCTATCCTCATCCTAGAACCTGTTTTCGTTTTCTATGCTCAGAAAGCTAGCTGCCAACACATAAGGAACTGTCTGGCAATTCTATGACTAAGCACATCTGCTCAAGGCTGTTTCTTACATGGGAAGGATTCCAAGAGACACCATGAATCAAAACTAGTGGCACATGAATTCCAGATTTCCACAGCATTTTATAATAGAAGACACAATATTATTCAAATTGAAACATGAAACATCTGAGAAAAATCTGTTATCTCAGTTAAAATAAAACCATTACCTGGCAAAAGTACATTTTAAAAATAAGCAGTATATAAGTTACTGGCACATACTTTTGGAGAAAAAAGTATTCATCTGTAAAAATGTCTTGAACACAATGAATATACATAAACTTCAATTTACATAATTTATCTTTCACATTCAATATGATAGCATGA